GAAAGCTGTTTTGTGGGAGCCCTGCCACATTGACACTTGTGTTCTATGGGCCTATTTTTCCATCTCTAAAAGGAAGGGATCTGTCTAGAGCAGTGATTTTCATCCCCTTCTCCCCATATTGTGCCCTAAGCACTCCTTTTATGGAAGTGGGGCAGAGTGGGGGTGATGATGGGTTTGGAGAGAAAGGACATTCAAACTTCACTGAACTCTGGACACACAGGTCTGCTTCAGCTGGAACAGTTGTGCTTTTGTCTAATATATTTTTTGTCTAAAAAGCTCTGGATTAGAATATGTGAATAGGTGAACCCAAGCCAGAGCCCCAAATACCTGGGGAGTCTGAACAGTCCTGGATTCCAAGACCTATGTATGGGGCTCACTTGTTCATCCCTTTTGCAAGTGCCCCATGGGTCCTGGTAGTTAGCAAGACCAGGCTGCTGGCTCTAACAGTCAGTGACTCTAAACAAGGTGTTTGAGGGAGAGCTAGAATTGTGCTTCTTCATGACCCTCTGGATGCACATGGATTAAACACCATGGGACCTCTGAAAAGGCTCTAAATCTAGGCCTCCTCTGAAGTAGGGTGCAAAAGGACCCTAAACCATTTGTTTCTACACACTGGATAATTTTTGTTGTTGTTTGGGAAAAACACCATGTAAACAACAAAGGGCAGTGCACAGATGGGGAAAATGCCATTATGAGGATGTGTGTTGACCCCAAACCAGCAGAGCTCAAGTGTATCCTTGCCCTTTATTCCTAGCATGAAACCATTCATGTGACAGGTACTGTGCTAAGGTCTAATCTTCACAACAGCTCTGTGGGAGAAGGGGTGTCATTGTTTTGACAAGTGAGGAAACTGAGGCTCTGAGACAGGCCCCAGGTCACAATGGGAGGAGATGTCAGAGGTGACAGGGCGGGGTCATGGCCAGCAGCTCCAGCCTCCCAAGCCAAGGTCCATAAGAGGAACCCCTGAGGCCTGGTGTCAGGCCTGCTCTGTCTCAGTACATGCCCTGGGAAAGGGCCTATTGTCCCTTTTCACAAAGGCTGGTGAGGAATCACCGAGGACACCATGAGACCTTACCATTTAGTACAGCACTAAAAAAAATACAATATTTTTACATTTTATAGAGTGGAATGGTTTCTTCAAAAACTAATTGTATAAACTAAAGCTAGAAAAACAGAGATGGACCAATGTGGTTGAAGGTGGGGGAAAGGGTAGCCTGAGACTCCCCCAGGGCTCCTGGAGCACTGCTTGAAGTTCACTTATCCAGTAGGTGGGCACTTACTAGGAGAAGCACAGGGGAGCCATGATGTCTAAAGTTTTGACTTTGGGTTGGAAAGAGCCAGGGGGACTCACTCACGGGTTAGCCAGCCTCAGGCAGGGATTGGGATTCCACGTCTGCCACATGTTGGGTGCTGCTGGCAGGTCCATCTGAGCTGGGCATCATCTGTGCCACCCGGTTACTGCCAGGCAGCAGCAGCCTGGCCTGCCCTCTTCCCCAAGGTAAGAAACATTTTTGCCATCTTACACTTAATGAATTTTATTCTTAAAAGATAAGGCTTACTACGTTAAAATCTCTATCGCCCCTCCCTTTTTTCTTGCTAGTCTACAAAGCAACATCAGTTTTCTTTACCAACGAGACGCCAAATGTTCAAATTCAGTCTTGCTGTAGAATCGTGGCAGATGTCAGGGGCTGGCTGGGATGGCTCACACCGTCATCATCAAACGATGTCTCTCTCGTATATGTCAGGAATCAGACAAATCGGTAAGTTGATCATGTGCAGTGTTCTTACTAAACATCTTGAATTCGTAATTGATGAGCTGTTCCCAAAAGCCGTTGTTGGGCCGGATGATGGGGCGGCACGACTTGGTCCAAGTGTGGGCATCCAGCAGGGACATGGAGTGGTATTTCACGAGGTAGGTGAGGCAGAGGGCAACTGAGCGGCTCACTCCGGCGACACAGTGCAGCAGTGTGCAGCCCTGCTTCATTTCCACGTCGTGGATGTGATCAACAATCAGGTCAAAAAAGTCACAGAGGTGTGAGCTGGGAGCATTGGCCACTGGTACCTGTACATATTGAATGTCCTTGAAGAACTTGTTCACCACCTCCACTGACACATTGATGATCGTGGTGATGTTGTTGCTGGACAACGTAAGTTTGTTGTTGGTGGCCACACTACCGCTGATGTACAGGGTAGTGGTTATCTGGGAAAGGCCATGGATGGAGGCCTGCCGGACAGCCTGAGATGTCAAGGAACACGGAGGTGTTGTCATCAAGGCGGCTGGTCAGCGGTCTCTCCGCGCTGGTTCAGGGCACCACCCTCGCCAGGGAATGCAGGAAAGCAACCCTGCTGCGAAGTCTCACTGGAAGGTTTGGGGGAAAGAGGACTAGCCACTCATTACCACCATCTTTTACTCTACCTCCCCCACTCCCACCCTGGGCGTCACAATCCCCAATGGCCAGAAGGCGGTGCTCTGATTTCCATGGCAATGGCCACTTGCTGCAGGGAGCACAGGGCCTCTGAGCCGGGTCTTCAGAGAAACCCGCAGTCTCTTTCCTTTTTATCTTTCTACATAGTCGTTTATTTTCCAAGGCCTAATTCTTATCTTTCTTGACTTTTTAAAATGCTTTGATACAAGATATCTATTTTACGCTTTAATTATTGGACCACACTGAACACAATATCTATGAATACTTCTATTCCACTAGTGTTGAAAAACATGGCTTATACTTTCTATGCAAAGTAGCAGTGTCATAGGTTAAGTTGGGGAATAGTATAGGGCTCATGTGATTTGTTAATCTCTATAAAACTGTACAGAGATATGGCTGGGCTTGGTGGTCTGGCCTGATACATCTTTGTTCATTGTAACCATAAAATTATGCTCCTGCTTACAAACACATTAGCACTTGTTATAAGGGAGTTTTGCTAACTGATATATATATATATATATATATATATACTCCTTTATCTAGCATGACGTTGGCCTGTGGTGGACAGCTGTGACTAATTTAGCTATGTCACAGTCCATTTGTACATACAGCTCAAATGATTTGTCCCCAAATTCTACTTTATTGCCTGAAACAACAGCTCAAATGATCTTTTGCATTTTTTTCAAAAAGAATGCCCACATGCTTTGTAAACTACAAGTCACTTTGACCACCATCAATGGTGTCTTCCCAGTAATATTAAACATTCTGGAATAACTTAATGCTATGTGGTAAGAGGGCCAAAAATTGATTTATTAAAATGCTACCTGACATTTGAATTTCCTCTCAGCTAAGATTTTTGTAGAATTTGGCAGTAAATCTAAAAGTACTATAACCTAAAACTACTAACAAATTGTTTCACAGAGCTGCCAAGAGACTCAAATACTTCACTCTCATTACATCATCATTTTGGTTTGTATGCAAAGGCGTGCTGTGATCATGAACAAAGATGAAATAGATGCCAGCCTGTTTATGATAGTCAAGAAAATGATAACCTCAAAACACAACACACTTTTCGTTTTCTCAGTTGTCATAATCAAAGTGCTTTGCATTATTCAAATTGTCAGTCCCCACAAGTCTATCTGGAAGAAAACAGAGCATGAATACTAAATAAATATGAAAACTGCCTATTAGGGATAACTCAATCGGGCTAAAGTTATTTAAAAGAGTTTAGTCTAACATTTCACAAAGGATATCAAGAAGAGCTTTGTAATCTATGGAATAATGTGGAGGCTCTAAAAGAGTATTAGAGTTTAGTTATATCATAAGCATACACTTTTTTTTTTTTTCTGACACAGGGTCTTACTTTGTCACCCAGGCTAGAATGCAGTGGCACCATCATAGTTCACTGCAACCTCCAACTCCTGGGATAAACCATCCTCCTGCCTCAGCCTCCCGCATGGCTGGAACTACAAGCATGTGCCACCATGCGCGGCTAATTTTTCTATTTTTTGTAGAGATGGGGGTCTCACACTTGCTCAAGCTGGCCTCAAACTCCTGGTCTCAAGCAATTCTCCCACCTTGACTTCACAGAGTGCTAGGATTACATGCATGAGCCACCATGCCCAGCCAAGCATACACTTCTTAAACTTTAAAAATATATGAAAATTTCAATCGGATGTGGTGGCTCATGCCTGTAATCCTAGCACTTTGGGAGGCCGAGGCAGGAGGATCCTTTGCACTTAGAAGCGCTTCGGATCAGCCTGGGCAACATAGCAAGGCCTCGTCTCTATGAAACATAGAAAAATTAGCTGGGCATGATGGTATGTGCCTATAGTCCCAGCGACTTGGGAGGCTGAGGCAGAAGCATTGCTTCAGCCTAGGAGTGTGAGGTTGCAGTGAGCTATGACGCCACGGCACTGTTCACTCTAGCCTGGGCAACAAAGCGAGACTCTGTCTCAAAAAAAAAAAAAAAAAGCTAACAATGTCTGTTTGGTGGTCCAGCACTGGTATTATCCACTAGAGCTTCATGAAACCTGGTTAGCTGATTACAGCGGATGTCTACTGCAATCAACTGGATGAAATAATGAGGATGCTTGCAATTAAGCAGCCGAGAGTGGTCACTACAGACACTCTAGTCCTCTTTCAAGACCACACATCGCAAAAAACAATGTTGCTCAAACTATGGAAGCTGGACTTGGAAACTCCCTGATATCCACCAAACCTCGCACTGACTACCACTTCTTTCAGATTTTTGACCACTTTGTGCAAGGAAAAATATTCAGTTCTCAACAAGCTGTGGAAAATACCTTTTAGGATTTCATCTTCACTTGCTCTCCAAACTTCTTCTTTGCTAGCATAAACCAGCTACTATTAAGATGGCAAAACTGACAGAAGAGGAATTTCAAATGTGGATCATAAGAAAATTCAACGACCCGCAAGAACACCTCAATAATCAACACAAAGAAAGCACAAAAAGCCTCCAAGACCTGAAACAAAAGTTCACTAAAGAAAAAGACACAATGTTAAAAAAAAAAAAAAAAAAAAAAAAAAAAAAAAAAAAAAAAAATTTCTTCTTTCTATCTACTTATCTTTGTCTCAAAAGAAATGCAGGAAAACAGAGCCCAGACTGAATGTCACCTCTTCACTCCTGGCCTATGTGCTACCCTACCATAGGCAAATTCCTTAACCACACTAGTATAATGTGAATAATAACTACCCTGTAGAGCTATTATAGGGACTAGAGACACTGTAAAGTGCCCAGTACTGTGTTTGGCATGTAATAGCTTCCTAACAAATGATGGTTATTATTATTTTCCACTCTTACTCATATTCTACTTTTACACCAGTACATTTCTTTTTTTCCAGGTGATATGCTCCTTTTCTTCTTGTGTGTGTGTTATAGTGTTTTATGCATAATTGCTCAAAACTATAAATAACTCTGTTATGGGTTGAATCATATCACCCCAAAATATGTTGAAGTCCTAACCCCCAGTACCTCAGAATATGACCTTATTTGGAAACAGGGTCATTGCAGATGTAATTAGCTTTAATGGGGTCATATTGGAGTAAGTGAGTCCCTAATCTGATTGGTGTCCTTATAAGAAGAGGAAAATTCGGACACTATGCATGGAGGGAAGACAGATGTGAAGACACACCAGAAAAGATAGCCATGTGACCACAGAGGCAGAAATTGGAGTGATGCATCTACAAGCCAAGGAGTACCAAGGAGTGTCAGCAACCACCAGAAGGTAGAAAGAGGCAAGAAAGCATTCTCTGCCACAGGTTTCAGAGGGAGCATGGCCCTGCTGACACCTCGATTTAGGAGCTCTAGCCTCCACAACTATGAAAAAATCATTTCTGTTGTCTTAAGCCATCCGGTTTTTGGTATTTTTTACAGCATTCCCTAGGAAACGAATACAAACCCTAATATCTTTCAATAGGTGGCTGTAAAACAAACTCGTACGACCATACAATGGACTACAACATGAGTGAGTCTCAGAGACATTAATGCTGAGTGAAAGAAGCCAGTCTCCAGAGGTTGCATCCTATATAATTCCATTTATGTGACAAATCTATAGAGAAGGAAAACAGATCAGTGTTTGCCAGAGGTTGGGGTGGGGTAAAGGTTTGACTACAAAGGGAAAGCATGAGGAAAATTTCTGGAGTCATGGAGCTGCTCCGTATCCTGATTGTGGTGATATTTACATAAATCTATGCATTTGTTAAAACTCGTAGAATCAAAAAGAGTTAATTTTGTGGTATGTTTATTTAAATATTTAAGAAAATGAAAGCACACACGCACACATACATACACACATATATTAATATATACACAAATAATTTTCTTTTAAAAAATGCTTTAAGAAATTTTCCATCTGGGATTCTGCCAGAAAGCTGTTTTGTGGGAGCCCTGCCACATTGACACTTGTGTTCTATGGGCCTATTTTTCCATCTCTAAAAGGAAGGGATCTGTCTAGAGCAGTGATTTTCATCCCCTTCTCCCCATATTGTGCCCTAAGCACTCCTTTTATGGAAGTGGGGCAGAGTGGGGGTGATGATGGGTTTGGAGAGAAAGGACATTCAAACTTCACTGAACTCTGGACACACAGGTCTGCTTCAGCTGGAACAGTTGTGCTTTTGTCTAATATATTTTTTGTCTAAAAAGCTCTGGATTAGAATATGTGAATAGGTGAACCCAAGCCAGAGCCCCAAATACCTGGGGAGTCTGAACAGTCCTGGATTCCAAGACCTATGTATGGGGCTCACTTGTTCATCCCTTTTGCAAGTGCCCCATGGGTCCTGGTAGTTAGCAAGACCAGGCTGCTGGCTCTAACAGTCAGTGACTCTAAACAAGGTGTTTGAGGGAGAGCTAGAATTGTGCTTCTTCATGACCCTCTGGATGCACATGGATTAAACACCATGGGACCTCTGAAAAGGCTCTAAATCTAGGCCTCCTCTGAAGTAGGGTGCAAAAGGACCCTAAACCATTTGTTTCTACACACTGGATAATTTTTGTTGTTGTTTGGGAAAAACACCATGTAAACAACAAAGGGCAGTGCACAGATGGGGAAAATGCCATTATGAGGATGTGTGTTGACCCCAAACCAGCAGAGCTCAAGTGTATCCTTGCCCTTTATTCCTAGCATGAAACCATTCATGTGACAGGTACTGTGCTAAGGTCTAATCTTCACAACAGCTCTGTGGGAGAAGGGGTGTCATTGTTTTGACAAGTGAGGAAACTGAGGCTCTGAGACAGGCCCCAGGTCACAATGGGAGGAGATGTCAGAGGTGACAGGGCGGGGTCATGGCCAGCAGCTCCAGCCTCCCAAGCCAAGGTCCATAAGAGGAACCCCTGAGGCCTGGTGTCAGGCCTGCTCTGTCTCAGTACATGCCCTGGGAAAGGGCCTATTGTCCCTTTTCACAAAGGCTGGTGAGGAATCACCGAGGACACCATGAGACCTTACCATTTAGTACAGCACTAAAAAAAATACAATATTTTTACATTTTATAGAGTGGAATGGTTTCTTCAAAAACTAATTGTATAAACTAAAGCTAGAAAAACAGAGATGGACCAATGTGGTTGAAGGTGGGGGAAAGGGTAGCCTGAGACTCCCCCAGGGCTCCTGGAGCACTGCTTGAAGTTCACTTATCCAGTAGGTGGGCACTTACTAGGAGAAGCACAGGGGAGCCATGATGTCTAAAGTTTTGACTTTGGGTTGGAAAGAGCCAGGGGGACTCACTCACGGGTTAGCCAGCCTCAGGCAGGGATTGGGATTCCACGTCTGCCACATGTTGGGTGCTGCTGGCAGGTCCATCTGAGCTGGGCATCATCTGTGCCACCCGGTTACTGCCAGGCAGCAGCAGCCTGGCCTGCCCTCTTCCCCAAGGTAAGAAACATTTTTGCCATCTTACACTTAATGAATTTTATTCTTAAAAGATAAGGCTTACTACGTTAAAATCTCTATCGCCCCTCCCTTTTTTCTTGCTAGTCTACAAAGCAACATCAGTTTTCTTTACCAACGAGACGCCAAATGTTCAAATTCAGTCTTGCTGTAGAATCGTGGCAGATGTCAGGGGCTGGCTGGGATGGCTCACACCGTCATCATCAAACGATGTCTCTCTCGTATATGTCAGGAATCAGACAAATCGGTAAGTTGATCATGTGCAGTGTTCTTACTAAACATCTTGAATTCGTAATTGATGAGCTGTTCCCAAAAGCCGTTGTTGGGCCGGATGATGGGGCGGCACGACTTGGTCCAAGTGTGGGCATCCAGCAGGGACATGGAGTGGTATTTCACGAGGTAGGTGAGGCAGAGGGCAACTGAGCGGCTCACTCCGGCGACACAGTGCAGCAGTGTGCAGCCCTGCTTCATTTCCACGTCGTGGATGTGATCAACAATCAGGTCAAAAAAGTCACAGAGGTGTGAGCTGGGAGCATTGGCCACTGGTACCTGTACATATTGAATGTCCTTGAAGAACTTGTTCACCACCTCCACTGACACATTGATGATCGTGGTGATGTTGTTGCTGGACAACGTAAGTTTGTTGTTGGTGGCCACACTACCGCTGATGTACAGGGTAGTGGTTATCTGGGAAAGGCCATGGATGGAGGCCTGCCGGACAGCCTGAGATGTCAAGGAACACGGAGGTGTTGTCATCAAGGCGGCTGGTCAGCGGTCTCTCCGCGCTGGTTCAGGGCACCACCCTCGCCAGGGAATGCAGGAAAGCAACCCTGCTGCGAAGTCTCACTGGAAGGTTTGGGGGAAAGAGGACTAGCCACTCATTACCACCATCTTTTACTCTACCTCCCCCACTCCCACCCTGGGCGTCACAATCCCCAATGGCCAGAAGGCGGTGCTCTGATTTCCATGGCAATGGCCACTTGCTGCAGGGAGCACAGGGCCTCTGAGCCGGGTCTTCAGAGAAACCCGCAGTCTCTTTCCTTTTTATCTTTCTACATAGTCGTTTATTTTCCAAGGCCTAATTCTTATCTTTCTTGACTTTTTAAAATGCTTTGATACAAGATATCTATTTTACGCTTTAATTATTGGACCACACTGAACACAATATCTATGAATACTTCTATTCCACTAGTGTTGAAAAACATGGCTTATACTTTCTATGCAAAGTAGCAGTGTCATAGGTTAAGTTGGGGAATAGTATAGGGCTCATGTGATTTGTTAATCTCTATAAAACTGTACAGAGATATGGCTGGGCTTGGTGGTCTGGCCTGATACATCTTTGTTCATTGTAACCATAAAATTATGCTCCTGCTTACAAACACATTAGCACTTGTTATAAGGGAGTTTTGCTAACTGATATATATATATATATATATATATATACTCCTTTATCTAGCATGACGTTGGCCTGTGGTGGACAGCTGTGACTAATTTAGCTATGTCACAGTCCATTTGTACATACAGCTCAAATGATTTGTCCCCAAATTCTACTTTATTGCCTGAAACAACAGCTCAAATGATCTTTTGCATTTTTTTCAAAAAGAATGCCCACATGCTTTGTAAACTACAAGTCACTTTGACCACCATCAATGGTGTCTTCCCAGTAATATTAAACATTCTGGAATAACTTAATGCTATGTGGTAAGAGGGCCAAAAATTGATTTATTAAAATGCTACCTGACATTTGAATTTCCTCTCAGCTAAGATTTTTGTAGAATTTGGCAGTAAATCTAAAAGTACTATAACCTAAAACTACTAACAAATTGTTTCACAGAGCTGCCAAGAGACTCAAATACTTCACTCTCATTACATCATCATTTTGGTTTGTATGCAAAGGCGTGCTGTGATCATGAACAAAGATGAAATAGATGCCAGCCTGTTTATGATAGTCAAGAAAATGATAACCTCAAAACACAACACACTTTTCGTTTTCTCAGTTGTCATAATCAAAGTGCTTTGCATTATTCAAATTGTCAGTCCCCACAAGTCTATCTGGAAGAAAACAGAGCATGAATACTAAATAAATATGAAAACTGCCTATTAGGGATAACTCAATCGGGCTAAAGTTATTTAAAAGAGTTTAGTCTAACATTTCACAAAGGATATCAAGAAGAGCTTTGTAATCTATGGAATAATGTGGAGGCTCTAAAAGAGTATTAGAGTTTAGTTATATCATAAGCATACACTTTTTTTTTTTTTCTGACACAGGGTCTTACTTTGTCACCCAGGCTAGAATGCAGTGGCACCATCATAGTTCACTGCAACCTCCAACTCCTGGGATAAACCATCCTCCTGCCTCAGCCTCCCGCATGGCTGGAACTACAAGCATGTGCCACCATGCGCGGCTAATTTTTCTATTTTTTGTAGAGATGGGGGTCTCACACTTGCTCAAGCTGGCCTCAAACTCCTGGTCTCAAGCAATTCTCCCACCTTGACTTCACAGAGTGCTAGGATTACATGCATGAGCCACCATGCCCAGCCAAGCATACACTTCTTAAACTTTAAAAATATATGAAAATTTCAATCGGATGTGGTGGCTCATGCCTGTAATCCTAGCACTTTGGGAGGCCGAGGCAGGAGGATCCTTTGCACTTAGAAGCGCTTCGGATCAGCCTGGGCAACATAGCAAGGCCTCGTCTCTATGAAACATAGAAAAATTAGCTGGGCATGATGGTATGTGCCTATAGTCCCAGCGACTTGGGAGGCTGAGGCAGAAGCATTGCTTCAGCCTAGGAGTGTGAGGTTGCAGTGAGCTATGATCACACCACTGCACTCTAGCCTGGCTGACAGAGAGAGACCCTGTCTTAAAAAAAAAAAAAAAAAATTACTGAAATTAACCAAAATAATTTCAAACACTATTCTCAAAGACAAGCATGACTGATATTAAATAGATTTACTTATTTATTCTTTCATATTCTGTGATATCCTTTAGTCTGAGGGATGTTGGATGTCTTAAAATTCCACTACAAGGTTTTACCTGAATATATAAGGAGTTGACCTTTCCTCCCCTTGAATCTGGAAACAGATCACTTTCAGATTCCCATTTGAATCTGATTCAGATTCTACTTTTCCTTGTTATTCAGTAAAGAAAATGTATAAGGGACTTGCCCAAGAACACACTCTCTTTATGCTACTGGGAAAAGACCCTGGATGTTAAGAGCTAGTTCATCTTCAGATTTCTCAATTCAGTAGTCAAGGCCCTTTCCCATCTGATCTAAGCCTGCTTTCAAATCTCATTCATTCATTTATTCATCAGATTTTTATTAAGAATCTATTTCATGCTAGCCATTTTCACCTATATAATTCCTCAGTTCTGACCAAACAAATAAAATGTTCTTGGTAAATAGAAAATGTACAATCCTGCTTCCTTCCCATTGCTCATGCCATTCCTCTCTCTTGAGAAACTTCTTCATTTTTCTCTGCTTCCTGAATCCTATCCAAGCTTTAAGAGTCAGCTTGATTAATTTGAAAAGAACATCCAATCTTCCAATCTGTATCATGAACAGTCCTAGAATGGTGTAATTCAACACAACACAGAGCCTGATTTCTAAGAGCTTATAATTTGGTCAGAGAGATAGATAATCTTGGAAGGGTCCAGAGGATTCATTGTTTTATGTTATGTTTGGGGACCAGGGACAGTAGGGGGATGTCATAGAAGACTTCACAGAAAACATGACCAGGAACAAAGCGTTTTGTTTCTTTGTTTTTTTTTTTTTTTTTATTTCGGCATATTATGGGGGAACAGATTTTAAGATTTCAATAAATGCCCTCCCCCCCCCACAAGTCTCAGTTTCCAGCATGACCATCCCCCAGATGGTGCACATTTCATTCCTTATGTATATATATGCCCACCCCCCTCCCCTCCACCGGCCCAATACCCTAATACTGTAGTACCTATGTGTCCACTTAGGTGCTACTCAGTTAATACCAGTTTGCTGGAGAATATATCTGGTGCTTGATTTTCCATTCTTGGGATACTTCACTTAGTAGTATGGGTTCCAGCTCTAACCAGGAAAATATAAGATGTGCTATATCACCATTGTTTCTTAGAGCTGAATAGTACTCCATGGTGTACATATACGACATTTTATTAATCCATTCTTGGATTGATGGGCACTTGGGCTGTTTCCACAGCCTTGCAATTGTGAATTGTGCTGCTATAAACATTCAAGTGCAGGTGTCGTTTTTGTAGAGTGTCATTGGATCATTTGGGTAGATGCCCAGCAATGAGATTACTGGATCAAATGGTAGATTCACTTGTATCGCTTTAAGGTATCTCCATATTGCTTTCCACAGCGTTGAACTAGTTGCAGTCCCACCAGCCAGTGTAGGAGTGTTCCTTCTTCCGCAACCACGCCAGCATTTATTGTTGGAAATTTTTATAAGGCCATCCTCACACTGGGGTTAAGTGATACCTCATCGTGGTTTTGTTTACATTCTCTGATGATAGAGATGTTGAGCATTTTTCATATGTTGTGGACCTCTCTTCTGTTTCTTTAGAAAAATTTCTGTTCAAGTCTTTGCCACCACTTTTTAATGGGGTTATTTGATTTTTTCCTAATTTTCGTGAGTTCTAAGTATATTCTACTTATCAGTCCCTTATCGGATGCATAGGGATGCGAAAATTTCCCCATTCTGTAGGTTGGTCTGTACTTTCATGACTATTTCTGGCTGTGCAGAAGCTTTGTAGTTTGTCATGTCCCATTTATTTAATTTTTGTTGCTGCTGTGATTGCTTTGGGGACTTCTTCATAAACTTTTGCCCAGGCCAATGTCTAGGAGAGTGTTCCAACTTTTCCTCTAAGATTCTAATAGTTTCATACTTAGTCAAGTTGTTATCCAGTGTGAGTTGTTTGTGGATGAGGTGTGGGCCTGTTTTAGCCTTTACAGGTGGCTATACCAGTTTTCCCAGCACCATTTAGAGGATCTTTTCCCAGCGGTATGTTCCGTCTGCTGTACAAGATTAAATGGCTATACTGGGATGGTGTTATATCAGGATTCTCACATCTGTTCACTGGTCAATTTCCTATTTTTGTGCCAATACCATATTGATTAAATTCACTACAGCTTGTAGTATGTTTGATATCTGGCATATTAATGCTCCTTTTGTTTTTGTTTGCCTAGGGAAAAAAATTGCCCCCCTTCTTGATATTCGGGGTCTCTTTGGTCATATGAGCGTAAAATGTATTTTTTTTTATATCTGTGAAGAATGCTGATGGGATATTAATAGGTATTGCATTGAATCTGTAGATCATTTGGTAGTATAGGACATTTGATTGATATTGAGTCTTGCCGTCCACGAGCATGTATGGATTCCATCTGTTTACATCCTCTGCTATTTCTTCCTCAGTGTTTCATAGTTCTCCCTGTAAGTCTTTTACGCCCTTGGTTAAGTTATATTCTTAGGTACTTTAATTCTTTGTTCTATTGGAGAGGAATGAGTCTTGATTTGGTTCTCAATTAGATTTGTTGTTGTCGTTATATGAATGCCTCTGATTTCTGTGTATTGATTATTGTATTCATGAGACCTTTACTAAATCCATGATCAGTTCCAGGAGTTTCTTGGTGAATCCTTGGGTTTCTAGATACAATATCATATCATCAGCAAACAGTGAAAATTTGACTCTTCTGCCACTATTTGGATACCTTAATTCCTTTCCTGTCTGATTGCCGTAGCCAAGCTTCCAGTACTATGTGAACGAAGTGCGAGATAGTGGCAGCTTTGTCGGTTCCAGTTCTAAGTGGAAATGTTCAATTTTTCCATTCAGTATGAGTTGGCATATGGGTCTGCTTAATTGCCTTTGTACATTTTAGGTATGTCCCTCTATGCCTATTTTTTCAAGTGTTTCGTATCATGAAAGGGTGCTGAAATTGCAAAAGCTTTTCTGCATCCTATTGAAAATCATGTGGTCTTTGTTTTTGCTTCTGTTGATGTGGTGGAATTGGCATTTATAGATTTACATATGTTGAACCATCCCTGCATCCCTGGGATGAAGCCCACTGGTCCATGGTGGATTATTTTTTGATAAGCTGTCTGGATCAGTAGCTAAGAATTGTTGAAAATTTTCATTATATTCATTAGGGATATTGGTCTGTAGTTTTTTTTTGTTTGCATCCTTTCCTGGTTTTGTATCAGAGTATATTCGCTTGATAAAGCGTGTCGGGGAGGTTTCCGTTCTTCTCAATGTTGTGGAATAGTTTCTGCAAGATAGGTACTAGTTTTCTTTAAGTATGGTAATTTTCAGGTGTCGAGCCATCTGGACCAGACTTTTCTTTTAGGAGATTTTAATTCCTGTTTCTATT